TTGGTGCACCCAGAAGCACAATAACAAGCGTGCAATTTTACGTTACAGCCCAAAACGGCACGCGTGCACATGCGAAACGCCGTATTTTCGACTTCCGGTAAATTCGCCCATCTTAAGCATTTCTCTTTTTGACATTGTATGAACTCGTGATAATAGTACATAATATTACATCATATTCGAGTTATCATGCCAGACGGTTTGAGTCGGTTTGTTATCTCTCTGCATAACTGTGCTTGTTTGAGTTTATCAACAATTCACAACTTGACCTCAGGCACGTCTCTCATTGACTGTGTAAGACAGGCAGACACAGTGCGGAGAAGGTCATTTTCAAGATGAGGATGCAGGATGTCCAGTTAGAGGGCACATGCATTTGCAATGACGTCATTGCCACATTGCATTGTGGGATATATGTATATGAGCATGGAGGTATAAACACTGTTTACTGCATGGTATGAGTAACAACATGTTTAGTAGGAAGGCGCCTCTTAAGCCCTCTCTAAATCTGACACTGGTATTAGAACGACTTTACGGTTCTGGTATGACAACCTTTTTTTTATAGAATATGCAATGTTGTAAATATAATGTTCGGCATTATAATACTATGAACAAACAAACAAGTCATTCACTGCCAAGTCAGCGAGTTACACACAACCCCCAAAATAACTTAATGAACCAACCAACACCACTCTAATAATATGTTCACATATAATATACATTCAAAAATATTCGCATTATAGCCTTCATAACAATATTCTCTGTCATAACTGTGCACACCAAAATAACGAATAGTTAGATCACTTTAAAATCGCCTTCCATCGACCATTCAGCATAAACTCATACAATTTATAACACACGTAATGCAAAGTACATATACTCATTCAAATTCTGATTAATTATTATTAATTATTACAAAATGTTATAGATATGGTGTTTTTGAAGACTGAATTTTAGTTTTCTGTCACTATTCAGAATGAAAACTTTACATTTTGCTCTGTTTTTGGAGTAACCATAAACATATCACCTTGCCCGTACGTGTAAACAACTTCAATGTGTTCTTTGGTGGAAAGTCAGTTGGGATGGTTGTTGGGGTGCACTGACCGAAGGTTTAGTAGTGAATGACTTGTTTGTTTGTTTGTTTGTGGTATTATAATGCTGGACATATCGCTGTCACAGCTATACTCTCTGTTACGTTATGTGAGCAGATGGGAAATATTGGCATTTAGAAATAATATATAATTCTTGACGAAGAGCAACAGAAAAAAATATTTAGCAAAGTGAAAATCCTTTGTTACTGTGAATTTGTAATTGTTTGCTTCGAATACATGTACTAGAAAATACAACTTTGAAAGACTAGTCGTATTCGGGTTGTTGGCGCTAGTTATGTCGTGTTCGTAGACTGTTTATTTGTTTTTCTTGGTTGGGTGCGCTAGGTCAACAGGTTTGGGCTGTGTATTGGTAGACACTTGTTTGACGAGATTTGTTTTTTCCTTTCAAATAATGTTTAATTCTGTCCAATTGCAGCGTCCTCGATTATCCAGACCAATGTAACCATGGTGTTTGGTTACGAGTTCTTGACGGCCACTTTCGTCTAAGGTAAATTAAAAGAATATACGATATCTTGGAGTTGAAGAGAAAATGTTGGCATTCCAGTTCTTTCATTACAATCCCAACTATACAACTCTATTTGGTTGTGTTTTCGTTTCTCGTTTAGAAAACAGCACTTGAATCACAACAAAACAACTTTGACCCATATTGTCACAGAAGCTGACCGTCGATAGATGACGTGATCGTCATCGTCTTTCTTCTGTCGCAGGGGCGTGAGGCTGACGAGCAACAACGTCGCCACTATCAACGTGATCTGCCGACTTACATATTCGACTTGTGATTCAATCAATCTATATATTTATTTTGAAATATTTTAGGGGAAACCGACTTATTAGAGCCCACCTTGCGTGAAAAATGCAAAAACTGAAATGCAGATAAATGTGTTACCATACTACATGTAACTGTTATATGTAGGAACATTTACATGAGAACGAAAACGAATTTACTGTAAGTTGTATTCATATATTGAAAAGAAATTTTGTTTCAAACAAATATACGCATATACACAAAAGAAAACATTTTGGGGAAGACTGCGCATTTTCATGAAATTGCATGATGGTAAATAAATAAAAAAGCTGCTGTGAAATATACAACTACCGGAAATGTATTCGTATGTATTGTTAACAATGCATGGTACTATATTACAATTATAAGGCTGTAAATACATCGAATAAACGTGAATATTGGTACATTCAGTAAAATACAAGGTTAGAACTGAAAGTAATTTTTTTATGAGAAAATTTGGCAAAAGAAATAACCCATGCATTGTCAAATAGATGGGGTAAAAAAATCAACAATATGCCTCAGCCTGACTGACAGTCCGACACAAAAGTCCCCTCAGTACATATAATGGCATCTTCTGTATAAATGTCGACGACACTCTCATCCTAAATTAACGCAGTTAAGGCAAAACGATACACCATATACCAACAAATCAGTTTTCTGGTTTTCCCAGTGGTAACACAGAATGATACATCATCTTTTTAGTTCAGCTGTCGACTAAGTTGGCAGAGCAGAACTGATTGACTGTCGTGCGTTGTCTGTCGATCATCAACTTTAAATTTTCAACTACTTATTGGACACGTCAGCTGGTCTATATGTACTTTAGGTGGACCTCTTATATTTGTCCATTTCGTGGTGATATTTTCGAATCTCTAATTTAGACATTTTTGGTAAAAATGCTATTTCAAGAAGAAGGCAAGCCCGATTGCTTCGATATATTATATTTAGATACTAGTACTTCAAGTGCACTTTAATCAGATTTCCTCTTTTTGTGGCGATACCTTCAACTCTCTAATTACTATAGTTATTATAGCCTTTCCCAAAATCCTAATACAACATACACGAACAAAACGTGTTTTTTCTAGGTTCTGCGTACTTAATGTACTCCGTGGTAACACACCAACTTGTTTTAACGTATGAGGTCGACATAAATTTTTGTCCTCTTTCATAAAATAACCCGGAATAATTAATAATTTTCAAAAATACTAACTCGTATTATGGTGTCTGCCATGCTTGTGTGTGGTACACCTATGAATACTGAGTGAGACACGCTGGCCATATATTTCCGTATAGATATGGCTGAATGTCGTCCGATCTATGTTGAATTTATGTTATTTTTGATCGGATATTTGTGGAGTTTCTGCTATTTTTGATCTGGTCATTGTGGAATAAAATTGCGTGAATGATGTTTCATATAAAAGCATATGTATATGTATGCGCTGACCAAATAGTACCTGAACACAACAATTGAATATATATGGCTGAATGTCGGCCATTTTCTGCTATATTTGATCTGTATACATTGTATAATAAAAGTACGTAAATGAGTTTTTAACTGCAGATAAAATCAATACTGGGGTTACAGTTACTACTCACAAGAAGACGCTATCAGTGACAGACATTTTATAGCTATTCCATAAATATCATAGGCAATACAAAAATATCTTCATTACAGAATAATATAAACTATCACTAATTTGTTGTTGGAAACCAGCACATAACTCAAGGTATGGCGAATGAGATTAGGGTGTTTTCGCGTGCCGTTGAGCTCCATCAATATTATGCAAACTATGCCTCATATGGCGTCTCGACCGAAGATTACTTTTTTTTAAATAATTCACTGTCTTGTACGTTTCTATCCACCCATCCATGCGACATTAACTGTGCCATTAGATGGCTATCGCGCCACTCCAACTAATGAGAAATAGACCACTTATTTAGGGACAAAACAATCATATTTATGGTGCTGATTTTATTCAGACGAGGGTTGAAAATTTGAATTAATATTTTGATAACTTCATAAATCATAGACGTACACAATTTGCGTCATATATTTAGTTTGGATGTTGTTGTTTTTAAAAAAAAAACGGTACATCACTGACACACGCACTATCCGTACAGTGACGCCCTCCTGACTACTGGAAAATTAATATGGAGACATTGTCGATTTTCCGGCGTCTAACAAATTTGGTGAGTAAACAACGTAGATAGCCACGCTGATAGACGAGGTACTGATCGTGGTCGTGTTTCAGAGTTGTTTCTCAAGTCGAACGGATGGGGTGGTTTGAACGATACAAATGCCTACATCGGTAACAGAAAATGTGTTTTAACAAGAAACAAGTGTATGCGTTTAAATATTAAAAAACACATAGTCTGCGTCCGTAGTTCGTACAATGTATGTCATTAATTCTGATGGGAAATTAGGTGACACACGATTTTATATCTCATATATTATGGGCAGTTCTGTGTAATAATGTAGTGTAATATTTTCTTATTTCTCCACACTGTGTAATTGACCTTTTGATCTATGGCAAAGTAAGCTAGTATTTCGAGAGATTCGTGGTTTTTCCTTGCTCGCTACCATGATTGTCGCGGAAATGT